AAATCTATTAAGAATGATCTTATTCTCACATGATAAATCAGCTATAATTAAATTTCTACGTGCCTACATGAATCAGGATGAATACAATTAAAACTTCCTAAATGAACGACTTTGGGACTGATTAGAAGCATACATTTAAAAAAATTTTACGTATATGTGTAGAATATCATACGCTTAGTTATACTCTAGTGTATCGTTCAGGTACTTTCATCTCGATTAAATCGAACAATTTATTTCTTTATTACTAACCGAACCTTAAGCAACTACCTAAAAATCTTTGGCCTTGAATTTTAATTACATAAGATTATCAAATTTATGTAGAGTTTAATAAAATCAAACATTATGTACGCCATATTACACGACTCCTACACGACTCCTGCACAAATAGAATCTCACTCCATGAATTCCCAGTGCAATTATTTAACCCGTTTTTTTAGTATATATAAATAGATAACGATCGATATAGCTTCTGGCAAGCTTTTATCATTAAAAGTTTTTCGAAAAAAATTTCATATTTACAAAAAATAAACTCGTATCTACAAATATAATTTTACCTTTTAAGCACAATAAATACTAATCTTTCTATGACTAATTGATCTTTATTATTCTTTTCTCAATATATATATAAATATATTTTTCTATTCCTAACAAAACCATAAATATGGATTATTCTATACAATATCGAAAACGAGACTACCTACTTTGGTCATATCGAAGAATAGTTAGAAATAAATTTATAGCAGAATTTTTATTATTATTATTTTTAATATCGATAATATTTCTTTATTTAAACAGTTCTTTTATCAAATCAGTTTCCTCTCAAGTTCAGGAAATCAATAATAATAGTAGCAATATTATATTTTTCATTGATGATGATCAACATGCAAACGGTTTACAACCTCTTTATTGTAATTTGCATAGAAAAGCAAAAGCTGAAAATGTATATACACACGTAATAATTACTGGTCGTGGAATAAGCGGTAGAGAATTAAGAAAGTCTAATTCATTATTACCGAATTGTGATGTACCTGTATATGATTTAGAACTTCGAAAAGGCAATGAAAATACCTTCATTACAGTTATTAAAGATATAAGTAGTGCGTTGGATCAAATTCGGCCGGATGTCTTGATTTATATAAATGATCCAAAAAATGAAGCAGTACGTGGTGTTGACGCTGCATTAATGGCTGCTTCTCAAACAAATAATATCATTACTAAGATTGCATTACCGATTGAAGACGTGAAATATATGATGTGGTTAACTGATTTAAATATAGAGGCGCTTAAAAGTATGTGTTGTTTTTAATTGCTCTAATTTTTTGCTCATTTGTTTCTGTTCTTTATCTCTTACCCTTTATGTTTATCCCATTATAGACTGGAACACTCCAAAAATTCAAATAGAAATAATTACTCAAGATCGCCCTGCATCTCTATTACGCCTTGTACAATCGCTCAATTCGTCTATTTATTTTGGTGACAATGTACATCTCACTATAAATATTGATCGAAGTGCAGATCCTGTTACTGTTAAATATTGTCATACACTTGAATGGCCTTTTGGTCAAACAAATATCCGATACCGTATAAAACAAGGTGGCTTGATTACTGCTATAGTAGAATCTTATTATCCGACTACCAATGATGAATACGCTATAATTTTAGAAGATGATATTGAAGTTTCTCCATTCTACTATATATGGTCAAAATACACTATCTTAAAATATAGATATGGAACTGATCGAAATTTAACCAGTAGATTGTATGGAGTCAGTCTTTACGATACAAAACTCAATGAATTTAATATAACTACTGGTCGTAGACCGTTTAACCCTGCTGATGTTTTAGCGCATACAAAATATCCTAATCAATCTCCATATCTTATTCAAGCACCTTGTAGTTGGGGTGCTTTATTTTTCCCTGAAATATGGCGTGAATTTCATGATTATCTGAAAGCTAGGTTAGCTGATATTGCTGGTCCTAATTTACAACAAATAGAGATTCCAGAAAGTAGATCAAATATGTGGACAAGTTCTTGGAAACGTTTCTTTATAGAGCTTATATATCTTCGTGGCTATTTGATGCTTTATCCTAATTATGAAAATTCTATCAGCTTTACCACTAATCACGCTGAGATCGGTGTTCACTTTGGCTTCAAAAAAAAAGAATTAGGATTATGGCTCCTTCCATTAATGGAAGAAGATATTCTATTGGAAGGGATGCCTGATGGTCATTTACCTGACTTTAAGGATTTACCAACTATGGATCTTTGGGGAAATCTTGTGCCTCAAAATGAATTAATTCGACGTGGACGATCACTACACTCGAAAATTTCGATTTGTCCTCCAAAAGATACTGATGAACTCAATTATAATCCCCAAGACCTATTATGTATGGATAATTCAACCCTTTCCGATGATGTAAATACAATTAAACTAACAGCAAATGAGAAAAATCCTGCAATAAACCAATAATAGAAAACAATATAAAGTCTCCTTCCTATAGTTCAAAAAGTTTATAAAATTTTTTTTATTTTTTTGAGAAATAAATGGAATAGTTAACATTTAATAAGCAAACTACTGTATTAAATAAAATCTAAAATAAACAATAATCTTTCATACTAGTTAATATACTGGTTAATATACTAGTTAAGAGATATGTTCTTTTAATATTCGTTTAGTAGTTGATGTACTGTATCTTTATTTTATCTTAATTGTAAAAACTTATTTAAAAATTTAATATAAAAACTCAATATTATTTAAAGTTAATTTTTGCTTAAATTATCAGCAATAGATCATTAAAATTATTATTTTAGATTAATATACACATATTTTAAAAGAGTTTATGAATGATGGACAGGTTTTGTATCAGTTATCGGAATTGAAAACATAACTATTGGATTTTATATAATGGGAACGGGCTTGGTAGATTA